CAATATACGTTAGTGAAAATAACTTCCATCTCGTTTGTAACAGATGCCCTCGGACATTGTTGCTGCCTATTAAGAACAGCCCACTGGCGCTGGGTCCGGAAAAATTTACCGACAAGAGATCCCAGTGGGATTTTGGCGCCCATTATTGTTTGATCTTTATTTGTCTATAAAAGTTTGATCTTTCTATTCTTTTCCCCGTTTCGCTCTTAATCGTATGAAACTTTTAAAAATCCTTAAAGAAATATTGATAATAATCTCTAACTTCCGAATCATTTGTCTTCCGTTTCTGTGTTTCAAAGTGCATGTTATTCGCGAAACTAAAAGGGCAAAACTAAGTAACAACAGGAGCCCAATTACAAAACGTGAAAAAGATCCATAGAGTACTTCTCAAGAAATAGCGATAGCAAACTTACTTTGTCAAAATCCAGGATGGCCTTTTTGTTTTTCTGATCTCTCCCAAAATCAAATTAGTTCATCCACAGAACAAAGGGAACCTTTTCACATATACAAATTGAGAAAGACCGACCCGGTACTTTTCAATAAATAGCAATAACCATCTTTCTTGGTCAAAATTCATGAAGGCCGTCTGTCGGCAATTTTGTTTTTCTGCAAATCAATCGGACACAGCCATTGACCAAGGGAAACCTTCATATGAAATAAGATATGTATATATCCAGTAATTTTCCACAAATAGGAATAACATGCTTTCATAGTCAAGATCCTAGATGGCCGCATGTCGGTCATTTTGTTTTTCTGATCAGTCCCAAAGTCATACGGGCACAAGTAGGGACCAAGGGTAACCTTCATGTGAAATTGGAGAGCTCCATCTTGTAATTCTCAAGAAATAGCGATAACAATATTTCTTTGTCCAAATCCAAGATTGCTACCTAGCTGCCATTTTATTTTTCGATCAGTCCCAAAATGGAATATGCACTACAAAGGACCCAGGGGATCCTACGAATGAAATTTGAAAGAAATCCATCCAGTAATACTCCAGAACTAGCGGTTACAAACTTTCATATTCAAAACCAAAGATGGCCGCTTTTCAACCATTTTGCTATTCTGATTAGTTCCAAGATCAAACGGACACAAGAAACAAAGTGGAACATATGTGTGAAATTTGAGCGACTCCTTCAAGGAACAGCGATTAGAAAAATGTTTACAGGCGGACAGACTAAGGGTGTTGGGTGATTTGAATAGCCCGTCTGATGGTGATGACTTAAAATCCTACTACGGCCAGAGGAATAATTTGATTTTGTATAAATTTGGTCCGAAACATTATGGAATGAACTTTGGGAACAGGGGAAATAGAGCAAATTCGTTTTTCCTTTCTATATCTAAATAATCTTTCCTAGCTTTTGACCCGAGAATTTCAAGTACCGCATATCTATCAGGGAATGTGTCGGGATGACGTGTTGTATATCCAAATGTTTACTGTGCTCAATATCACCGTTTGTCAAAACATCTGTGCAGTTTTCATGAAAATCATTTTTTTTCATTACTATAGCCCCCTCCTCTCCAACTTACATACACGTTGGTAGGGAGGTTGCTTAAGAAAATGAAGGACAAATACAAGAAATCCTAAAGAAATTTTGCGCCCACCTTATTCTGTGGGAGTAATACTGTAATCAACTCTTCCCTCCGTAGACGAACTTTGTCCGTTTATACATTAACAGTTTACAATGTATTTTCTTTAAAAAAATGGGAATGGTCAATTCAATTTGAAGATTTGCCCCGATGTGACCTTGCAGCCCCGCCTTTTTTCAGCGAGTTATTACATTTCATATATCATGAAAAATATTTTTGTCCGCTTCTGCATTTTCAGAGCATCCAATCGACTTTAAATTTGGTTCACACATTCAGCGAACAGAACAATTGAACATATAATAGGTTTACTTCCTTGCGTTTCTTCTCCCTTAATTTTGGTTGCCATGGTTTTTACTGGAGTGGGTCATTCATTTTATTTGAATATGGTCAATGGTATAACCAGTTAAAACCTGTAGCAGGATATATTAGGAGTTTCAGAATCGGTTAATATGGCAACACAATCTTTGCTTCAAATGTAGACGTCAGGTTGACAAAGGAAAAGCCAAATATCACTTGTTTAATTGCCATGGCAATCAAGCTAAGGCAAATTGTGGCCTCTGGTTTGTCGAAATTTAAAATACTTTTTGACCAAATTTAGTTTAGAGAGGCATTTGGGAATGCCAAACATCACTGTACATGTTTTACCGTCACAACAATGCCGTGGAAAACTGTGACCTATTGGTCGAAATTCAGATATTGCTGAATTTTAACCTTATTTCGTATAAAGAGGTTGTAGGAAAAGAATCGGTTTTCCACCGTTGATCGTTTTCTTGAAATTTAACCCAATTGAGGTATTTACGTCTGCGGGAAAATTAGTTATCTCAGGACGAGTTTTAGCTCATTTTTAAGTTACCCCCCCCCCCTGCTTTCCCGATTTTGCTCTTCATAATTTTTTAATGAAATTTGAAAATTCCTCCAAGAAACATTAATGAGAGGCCCATGAGCTTGTTCAATACCTCTACAGCTTCCATACAACCATCGATTGGTTTACAAGACATTTTCTTCTATTTACCCAATATCAGCAACTTCGGCTTATTTGTTTATCGAGAAGCGTTTCAAGATTTAGGCATATTTGATCAGTGACCTTCCTAGAGAATCAAGGTCATTCCTATTAACTCGGGGTCCAATAAACTTTCTGAATTGATTCCCAATTCTCCATGGTGTTTTAATCTAAATTTAGTTACAATCCATTCAGAAAGAGTAGCATTTTGAACAAAAACCTTATTAATCTTCCCCTTTCGGGGCCCCATTCACCCTCTGGTGCATTTCCTCATCAATCTTCAGTTTTTGTGAAAGATGTTTTTAATTATTAATCGTCTATATTGGGTTTGTCCACTTTGGACTTTTCATGGTGTCTTGTGTGTTGGCACCGTTACTCGTTTCAACGGACTTTTTCAGATTCTAGATCTGAACAGTAGTGATGAAACGAAAGTACAGGCGAATGTCCTAGTTACTTTTGATGGCCTACATTCGATATCAGTCATACTTATTGTTGATCGTCAGTGGATTTGCCTCACAGTAAATGCACTTTTTTGGGTCACCAACAAACAAAACACGAGCAAAATCATGGGATTAAATATAATTTTTCTTACAAAAAGTTTGGGGGGAAAAAAAGCTCGGTAGCAGAGGCCTCCACAGTATCCACAAACTGATTTATAACCGCTTTCAATGGTCGTTATTCCATTAAAAGGAATTAACACCAATCTTGTCAAAAGGATTTTATTGACCTATAACCAGTAGAGCAATTGTTTTAAATAATGACCTACCACTTTGACTACCTGTACCATTAAGCCAGCTGTTGAAACTTTTAAGTTGAGCGATTAATGTGTCAATGCCCATCTCCACCATTAACGAACATTTGTCTATACAGCAGGCAGATTGTTGAAAGAAATCCCCATGTAACATTTTTGCGTCATCACTTCTCATCATTTTTTTTTTATTAAGTAGAGCGATTAAGGCTTAAGCTATGGTTTGATGGTAAATGCTTGTTGCAAATTTAAATACTTTGTCTAAAATCTACAATTAAATGGATTAAAATGTTTTACACCAAAATTATATACAAGAATGCAATTATGTCGAGATCATCGTGGTTAACAAAACAGCGTGATCATTGTACAAGAAATGTTGGATCCATTTCAATGCAAGAATAAATAAAAAATTTTGATTCTGATAAATTTCCTGTTCCATGCTTGTCCCGAGGATATACCATAGCTTATGGAAAAAATGTTTTCAGTCCTAAAATGTTCGTGTTTAAAACCATATTTGTTGGAGATTTATTTCCAAAAAGTTGAGCACAATTACTTGATATTTAACAAGCGATTCAAGGACCATAACAGTCAGCCAAGTTACAAAGCTGTCCTTCTTGTAACATTGTAAAGACACATCAACTGCCATCCCATGATAAGGATTCCAATCTTGTTAAAATTAAAAGAAATCGTGCTCAAAATGTAATTTTCCTTTATAAACTAAAATACAGTTGTCCCTCTTCACCTCTTCATGGGGGAAAATGCAAAAAGTATTTGATTATATAATATTTGGATATTGATGAGATTTTTGTAATCAGTCATTTTGACCCTCATCAGCCTCTAGGGTCAATATGTGTACATTAAATAGTTGTCATGTACGTTTCCAATAGAAAATTAATGAATTATGCCTAAACACGTAGTTTTCCTACATAAACTTTAGTTAACTTGACCTTCTGTGCAGCAAAAAGCTTGATAGTCTGGAGTCATGGAATTAACAATTTTGGTGAAGTATCCAAGGACAATGCCATCCACTAAGAATATTTGATTCTAACATACTTTGGTATCCAAATGGTTTTGACATTTTGACTCGTGTATAGTATGGACCTTTTAATTTACAACTTTAATTCACCTTTGGTCCTATAAGGTTTCTGCTGATTTCATTGACATTGGTTAAGGGGTATTCTAGAAGTCGAAACAGTAAGTGGTTATGATGCACGATGCCAGGAAAAAAGGCGATCTTAATAGGTCACCACAAGACTTATCTTGTGTGAACTAAAGACGGTCTCTATTACTGTACCACTAATTCTGGTATTCATTATTCACAAGGCATTATTTGACAAATTCCTTTTGAATCATGTCCAATTCTGACCTTAAAAACACCTTTTCATATTTGTCTCTAGGAAAAGCAGTTATCTCTATGAAGATTTTTTCTCGAGATGTAGCTAAATTGGTAATGATTATCATTCCTGCAATGTTTTTGTCATCTAATTATGTAAGAATGCCTTATCGGAACCTAGATTTCAAACCAATTTATTAGATGATATACTGGCTATCTTGGATAACATCTTTCACATGAACATCATGGCCAGCCTCCTAGTCCACATTTGGAGACCTGAAACATATCTCTGTAAAGCAACCACAAAGTTATATACAACGAAAAAAAGTTAATAATGTAACAGTTGGAAGTTTTATTCAATGTAACAGATGATGTTAAACTATGATAATCCATCCACATTCAAATCATCAGTTCTTTTACAAGAAAAGGATTTCAAAATGCAGTAACTAATAAACAAAATGTATTAACATATTTTTGTAACCATTTTAAACAAAAGATACTATAGGACAATTGGGAATGAAAACATATTTACATCTTATATACAATTGCTCAGAAACTAACCAATGATAGTTACCAAGTCTCCTAGTATGTTTAGATACCAAGCACTATTAATTTCACCATGGTTTAACCTCCTGGCCATAATTTTAATCTCTATATAAAGATCTGGTCCATCAACCTTTGACCTACCACCTGTTTAATACTACCATATTCCTTTAACACTTTGTTCATTCTGGTTTGAGCACTGCAGGCCACAGGTTAGCTGAATAGTAAAAATCATAAATCAGTCAATTGTCTCCATAAAGAAATGCAAGCAAAATTTTTCTTCTTCAGAAATTCAAAAGAAATATACTATGATAACTTGTCTGTTTTCAACATCAGACTATGGAAATATATATATATGCCATTTTAACATATTAATTTATGGACAACATAAATTTTCTGGTCTGAATCAAAAAAATTTTGCTTACACTCAATTCATCACTTAACTTTCATGTAGTTTGCTTGATACCATAAAAATCAATTTGTACATGCTATCTATTCTTCTAAATTTGCCAAGATAATTCAATCATGTTCATTTCATAAAACATTATGTGTGCCCCAGAGCCTCCCAAAAGATCCCAAGCATACAAGGGACCTTACCAAATAAGGCAAGTCCAAGAGTGCAATGGACAGGGTCCCAGGGCTTCTCCACACAGCAAACATCATTCAACTTTAGATCAGGATCTGTGAACAGAGAACTATAAATATCCATCAGTAATGGCATTTCTTAGCACTAAACATAGACTATAGCAAGAACCAATCTGAATTGATGAAAAATTCAAAAGCTTGTTTGGAAAAGAATCGCATTTTGTACCCAAAAATACATCTTTCTCAAAAATAAACAGCTTGTTACTTATTTATACCAAATTGGTTCAGGCTTAACATTGTATTTGTATCAGTTTTGTTTTTTCATTACTTTCATTTCATTCACACAGGCAATATTTTTTGAACGATAGGTCATTTAAATCTTTTGTAACGGCATAACAGTAAACACCACGATACTGTTATACCACCTGAAAAGTTGTTGCTTGTTCCTCATGTCCAGTGAACTTGCGCGGCTCTATGGCACAACTCTTGGTAGAATCACCAACACATCCTGGTATTGGGCATGAACTGCCTTGCGGATTTGTGTCTGCATGTCATTTAGTGACATGGGTTTCAGCATATCATCGAATATTTGAGGATTGCCTTAGAGTTCACAAGTCATCAGTCAATTTAGCGTTTTCTGAGCAATGGGAGCAAAATTCGAGTGATGCATGTCCGTTGTCTACATGTAAGCAAACACCAGCTTTGGAACTGTTCCTCTTTGCACGCTTTGCATTAACTGGTTGTTCAACATAGTCATGATCATCATTGGCACCACGCTTTCTTCTATTGAAAGATGTTGAAAGAGTGACATTCTGCACATTTGGAATGTTCTGCAATAAACTTGATAAAGCGCTTTGATTAGCTAGCACACTTTTTAAATAATGTACCTCATCTTCCAAAATTCGTTGACATTCTTCCATCCTAGTCTGGTTCTGTTTCAAATTGTCATTTTCAAAACGCAGTTCCTTTACAGTATCCTCCAAGTTTTTTATGAATATCTTTTTCTTTTCTCTGTTGATTTTAGCCTGAACAGCATTTTTCTGGTTTCTCCTTGTCAGAGCTTCAACGATTTCACCATCAGAGTCAATGTTGTGGCTTGCTGAAACAACTTTCACAACTTTAACTGTTGGCTCAGGCATAGGCAGTACCTTTTTTATCTGTGGCTGTAATTTGCTTTTGACTGGTGTTGTTGTTGAAGCATCTAATTTTCTCAAGGTTACGTTTGATTTTCTTTCTTTTAGGATTTGCACATGCTTCTCAATTTCAAGTTTCCCGTTATTAGGTGTCAAATCTCTGTTAGACGCACCATTGTTAATAGCACAATCGAGAACACTTTCAACTGCTACCGTCTCGGGGCTCGACGTTCTTGATCCAGACGACAAATAACCCATAAGCTCAGCATCGTTGAACATTTCAAAGGCTGAAATGTTGACACTGTCCGAATCGCTACCCATGCTCATGCCGCTGTCAGACTGGTGACTTGGAGAGTTCTTTAAAGTTTCCAATTCGTCGTCGGGAGAATCCACTGTAGATGGAACACTGCCGAAGTTGAAATCAACGTTGATCATTCCTTTGTCCAGGAGATCATCTAACAAACAAACATCAGACTCTGGTGACAACAGTAACGAACTCATGCTGAATGAAACAAGAAGTTGGTGTCGTGTACTTCCCAACTTTTCGTTTCCGTTAATTTGTCAAGGATAGTCAGACCGAAATAATTATGTGTTATTTCTGAATTCAAAATGAAAGCAGAATAACGGTGTTATTATCGTTTCCACAGGTTGTATTTCAATGTTTCACAACGATATGGCGGCGAACTATTCAGATTGGTATCAACAATCGGATTTCAACAAATATTCTAAATTAGGCCTAGGCTACAGGTTCAGGACCTAATTTATAAACATCAAGTAATTAATTTACAACAATTTGCGACAAAAACTATGCTCACGATTACCCAGTGTCCTAATATGTTAGTCTGTATGGTCCGTAGTTTCCTCGTCGTATGATTTTGGTCATCTGTTTAAATGCGTAAGAAAATATGCTTTTATAGCAAACAAAACGTCGGGCAAACGTTTCCTTCCATCAGCGAAAAATGCTTTGATCCCATTGGTCCTTTGTACAGGTTCCTTATTTTTGATTGGCTATGTTAATTTTAGAAATTACGCAAAGGGAATTCCCCTTACTCGTATCCATCGATTCACAGCACATATTTCAGTGTGCGTTCGCCAAGAAAATAGTTTCTTAATAATTAAACCTACAGAATTTCACCGAAATGTTAATACAGTAAATGAATGGATTATACAATAAAACACAGAGACATTTAAACATTTATTTTTTATTTAATAAAAAGAGATACTTCAATCTTTTGACCAATGACAGCATTTCTATCATTTGCTGCACAGGAACAGGATGCAGAACTGTGTGTATAATATTTAGAGACAAAATCATATTATTGTGTAACGACAATATGCGCATCAGTTGTCATTGGGTTTTAAATCGTTGTACAACTGTTTCTCTAGTCATCAATGACTTCACATTTATGTTCTGTTCAGATGTATTACTCTGACATTTGTAGAAAGTGATCGCACTGCTAAAGGCACTGCACCTAAAAATCTTTGTTTCACTTTCGCTACTGTACTAGACTGTAACGTTAGTACTATCAAAAGAAGTACCCCAGTAGGCCTCCGGACCAGTTGGGATGGACGGGATACAAACTGTACAATAAGTTGTATTGCTTCAAGGACCATAATACACGGGTAAGTATAATGTTTTGCATGTTAATTGCTTCACAGAGATTTTATTATTCAATAAGTATTAAAGTTTTACTAACAGTTTGAAGAAGAGTACGATACCAGGTACACTTCACCTTACTAGCAAGAATAGGCTGACTAGAGACTCAAAGTTGGCTATTTCAAATCATACCAGGACAGAATTTTACACTTCCCTCTTTATGAAGTACGTAGCCATAGAATTCGGGTAGTGTAATTTTCAATCTTCTGCTTTGTATTGGTACATGGCTACTGAAGTTATCAACCAAATATATATTATTGTAAAATACTATCTATTAATCCCAATGAAAAAGAAAATATTTCATGTCTGGACTGGAAGAAGGGAAACTGCAAATAGAAAATTAAATGAATGAGAAAGATCTCAGGGCTCTTGATCTGCCGGATTTGGGGCCGAATATTCCCAATGCAAAATAGTATCTTTTTTTCCCAATTTAGACCCCAAGTTTTCCCAATTCTAAGGAAAACACAGCTATTTTCCCCAATTTTAAGGGCCCCAGGCCCCAGTCTCGAAATGGGGTGTGAGAGCGCTGGATCTTGCCGTGACTATTGATGAACATTTAAACTTTCGGACTGGCATACAATTAACTGTCAACAAGGCGAATAGTATAGCAGGATTAATCAGAAGAACTTTTGTTTATTAAGATGAGACCTATGTTCAAACTGCTATTCAAAGCTCAGGTAAGACCCCACCTGGCATAGCCAGTTAGCGAACCTGTACTGTCCAGTTGTAACTTACAATCCTACCAGTGAACATGTACATTACTGTTTATTAGTATTCCACTACTAGTGAACCTGTACAGTGCTGTTCAGTAGTAACTCATGACCAGTGAACCTGTACAGTGCTGTTCAGTAGTAACTTACTACCAGTGAACCTGTTCTGTTCTGTCCATTAATTAACCACTACAAGGGAACCTGTACAGCACTGTTCATTGGCAACCCGCTGCCAGTAAACCTGTACAACACTTTCCAATCGTATCCTACTACAAGTGAACCTGTACAGTAATGTCCAGAAGTACCCCACTACCAGTGAGCCTGTTCTGTAGATGTGTGTCATACTGGTTGTATATATTTATGGTACTGGTTGTAGATATGTGTAAAACTGATTGTAGATATCTATCAAACTGGTGGTAGATATGTGTGATACTGGTGGTAGATATCTGTGATACAGGTTGTAGATGTGTATGATACTGAATGTAGATACTGGTGGTAGATATGTATGTTACAAGTTGTAAAGTGTATGATATATGTTATAAGTATGCATGATATTGGTTGTAGGTGTGTTGCTAAGAATGGGCCATGGCGACTTCTGGTAATGATACTACAAGTACCCTGGAGCTCCTACAGACCGATGATTCAGCCAATTTAATACCCGGTCAACCACATTCATCTTGGGACCCATGTCAGAGCACCGACTGGGACAATGAAGCCCCTACTACACAATGTATTCTTCGTATTAAAAGGTAAGATTGACAAGCAGTGGCATCTTGAAAAACCCTCCTGAATGGAAAGCATTAGTAAAATAGTAATGTATGGTTGTCAGATAATTCTCATTGTGACGAGCGAATTCAACAGTTTACTAATGAATTATAAATGGGTAAGTTCTGCTGACTTCTCTTCAGTTCCACTCAAGAGATTTATGTGAAACTTGCTAAGAATGATCATTAAATGCTACTGTCCAAGTGCTACTAAAATCTAAGATTGTGGAATGGCTGCCATTTTGAAAAACTCGTTTTAAAGTTCTTTTCCTGTTGCACTTGATGCTATTGAGCTGAAAACTGGTGGGGATGTTGAGGATAGAGAGCCAGAAAGTTTTGTTAATTTTCAGCCTGGTCCAAAGTCTAATGTGGCAGCTTTGTTTACCAGTTTGTAATGTGATTGTGCAGTCATACCTGTTCAATACTACTACAGCTGCTGTTATATGTAAAAAGGTCTTTATAGTCAGATGACAGTTACTGCCCATGGGCCTGATGAAAAGATATTTCCTGTTTCCTATAGATTTATACCATTTATTACAGTACTTTGGTCTTTATAACAAGGTGACCTTGAATACCTATTTGTCTTTTGTTCATCTTTATCATCTGTCATGCCTAGTCATTCTAGAAACATGTAAACATATCGCATCTGTTTCAAAAAATTTGTCTTTCTTTTACAGAGATATAATGACAATATTTAATGAGCCCCCGCCTGGCATTATTATCATCCCAGACAAGGAGGACATCACGAAGGTAGGCACAGAGACATAAAGATTGGCCAAAAGACAATGGTAAGGTAGGAACAAAGGCATAAAGATCAGAACAGAGCTACCAAGATATGCAAAGAAATGCTAAAGAAGGTATTTAGACACTGCAGTAAGCACAGTGACATACAGATATAATGTGAGACACTAGTTAGGTAGGCACAGGGACATACAGATATGCTGAGAGACACTAGTAAGGTAGGCACAGGGACATACAGATGTGCTGAGAGACACTAGTAAGGCAGGCACAGGGACATACAGTTGTGCTGCGAGACACTAGTAAGGTAGGCCCAGGGACATACAGATATGATGCGAGACACTAGTAAGGTAGGCTCAGAGACATACAGATGTGCTGAGAGACACTAGTAAGGTAGGCCCAGGGACATACAGATATGCTGAGAGACACTAGTAATGTAGGCCCAGGGACATACAGATATGCTGAGAGACACTAGTAAGGTAGGCCCAGGGATATGCAGATATACTGTGAGACACTAGTAAGGTAGACACATGGACATGTAGATATGCTGTGAGACACTAGTAAGGTAGACACATGGACATGTAGATATGCTGTGAGACACTAGTAAGGTAGACACATGGACATGTAGATATGCTGTGAGACACTAGTAAGGTAGACACATGGACACTTAATGAAGACACAGAGACACAAAGGCAGACAAGGAATCATTGGGGTAGGTATGGAGACACTAGTTTATACACAGAGACAATGAACGGTAGTTCTGAATTTTGAAATAATAAGCTGTGTATAATTTTCTCACGGATGTTTATCTCTTTAACAAATGTATTCACACTTAAGTACATGTTACAAAATACAAGTGCTGCTCATGGTTAGACTGAAGCTGTCACTGGTGAAGTTTTATTGGGAAAAGGTCACAATTGACCACTTTTGAAAATTCTACATGAGCCCACTTTTTGTTTTAGGTGGTGGGGGGCTATTCAAATTGCCCTAAGACTATGTTTCATGGTCTATTGTTTGTCTATCTGGAAACAATCTTTGTCGTTGCTAATTTTTTTCTCAAATTTCAAATAAAGGTTCCCTTTTGGTCCCTTATTGTGCCCTTTCATTTTGGGACTGACCAGACAGGCAGAATGACTGTCAGGTGGCCATCTTGTACTGTGATAATGAAATATTGTTATTGCTATTTCTTGAAAAGTACTTGATGGTCATATGTAGGTTTTCCTTGGTCCCTGGTTTTGCCGTTATTATTTTAGCCTGTCTATAAAATTGATTTAGAGATCAAAAATTTGTTATTCCTATCTCTCAAGAAGAACTTAATAGATCTCTTTCAAATTTCATATGTAGGTTTTCCATGATCCCTAGTTGTGCCTTTTTGATTTTAAGATGAATTAAAAAAAAAAATGGCTGACAGCTGGCCATCTTTGAGTTTGACAATGCAAGATTGTAATTGTTATTTCTTGAGAAATACTGGATGAATTTTTCTCAAAGGTCATTCATTATTCATGTTCCCCTTGGTCTGTTGTGCTCTTTTCATTTCGGAGCAGATTAGACGCCCAAATAGCTGACAGGTGGCCATCTTGGATTTTGACAATGGAAGTTTATTCTTGCTATTTTTTGAGAAGTCCTAGATGGATCATTCTTAAATGTCATTTCTTATGCATGTTCCCCTTGGTCTGGTGTACCCTTTGGATTTCGGGACTGATCAGACAAACAAAATGGCCAGTAAGCGACCATCTTGAATTTAACAGTTAAAGATTATCATCACTGTTTCTTTGGGAAATTTTCAAATTTCGCCATTTTAAAAGACCAATTAAATGTCAAGCAAAGGTGGATACCAAGATCCCTCTTGGATCTCTTGTTATTATTGTATACTTTGTTACAGATTCATGCCTTAATCACTGGGCCCTTTGTTGTTAAAGATTTATGCCTTAATCACTGGGCCCTTTGTTGTTACAGATTCATGCCTTAATCACAGGGCCCTTTGTTGTTACAGATTTATGCCTTAATCACTGGGCCCTTTGTTGTTACAGATTCATGCCTTAATCACTGGGCCCTTTGTTGTTAAAGATTTATGCCTTAATCACTGGGCCCTTTGTTGTTACAGATTCATGCCTTAATCACAGGGCCCTTTGTTGTTACAGATTTATGCCTTAATCACTGGGCCCTTTGTTGTTAAAGATTTATGCCTTAATCACTGGGCCCTTTGTTGTTACAGATTCATGCCTTAATCACTGGGCCCTTTGTTGTTACAGATCCATGCCTTAATCACTGGGCCCTTTGTTGTTACAGATTCATGCCTTAATCACTGGGCCCTTTGTTGTTACAGATTCATGCCTTAATCACTGGGCCCTTTGTTGTTACAGATTCATGCCTTAATCACTGGGCCCTTTGATACCCCATATGAAGGAGGGTTCTTCTGTTTCTTGATTCGCTGTCCACCTGACTACCCCATACGACCTCCAAGGGTTAAACTCTTGACTACTGGTGACAAGCAAGTCCGATTTAACCCAAACTTCTATAAGAATGGCAAAGTGTGTCTTAGCATATTGGGGTAAGTATCTTTAGTATGGTTTGTTGAGACTCCAATGTGAACCTGTATAATGAATAAGAGGTCATAATGTAATATCATGTAATGTGATAATGCCTCCAAATCTTCTCACATTTACAGTACTACTGTAACCTTGACCCTTGATCATTCACCACATTGATGTCAAAAGGAAAAGCATGCACATAACTTCAATCAATGCCTAAAGTAATTCAAATATTTTACTCACATTTACATCCTTAAGAGTAACAAGTCTGATCAACAATATTTTAAAATAAAATTCAATAAATACCAGCTCATGAACATTTTACATTGATATAAAAATCAGAAAAACGAATTGGCCAACAGGTGGCCATCTTAGATTTTGACTTAAAAAGTTTGTTATCGCTATTTCATAAAAAGTATTGAATGGATCTCTCTCAAATTTCATAGAATCTACTTCTACTTAATTTCTTCTTGTGCCAATTTGATTTTGGTACTGAAAAAAAAGGCATCCAGGTGACCATCTTGGATTTGGCATGTAAAGATTATGAATGTTAAGTTTTCTTATCATTAAGTGCAAATACAGAGAAGAGAAAATAGGGGAAAAGATCCAACTTTCAAAGATCTCTTTTGTGATATGTAATATTTACTAACCAGTTTGATATGTTTTTACAGTACATGGTCTGGACCAGCATGGAGTCCTGCTCAGAGCTTGTCAAGTGTCCTAATATCCATGCAGTCTCTGATGAACGAGAAACCATATCACAATGAACCAGGATTCGAAAAGGTAAATACATATTTTGTTGATAAAAAGAAAACAAATTTCACCTGACCTGGCTTCTGTCTGTCAGATTTCAGTGCCTGAAGTCAGACCCAGGTGTTCAGTCATTTGGACCATGTATGGTCTATAGGATGTACATACATGTACAAAAACATGTTGACCTTATGCCTGGGTGCAGTGTTCATTGTCTGCCAACATTTTCTGAAAATTGAAAGAGGGTCAAAATGTAAAAGGGAAATAGAGAAAAGCTTTAAAATTCTTCTTCAGGAATAAAGGAACTTTGACCAAATATGGTCAGAGGAATCCTTGTGTGAAGGGGAGTCATTTATGTATAAACAGTGGAGTGGAGTGGAACCAACATAAACAGTGGGTCTGACTCCCTTGGGTCAGAGGTTTTGAACCATCATAAACAGTAGGTCTGACTCTCTGGGGTCAGAGGGATGGAACCGTCAGTAACAGTGGGTCTGACTCCTTGTGGTCAACAGGGGAACCAACATTGACAGTGGTTGTGACTTGCCGTAGTCAGAGGGGGAACTGATGTAAAGAGTGGGTCTGACTCCCAGGGGTCAGAGGGTTGGAAGAAACATAAACAATGGACCCAACTCCTCGCGGTTAGAGGGGCAGAACGAAGAAAGTGAAATAGAGGTGTATCTATAGAACACTTCTTCTGTTTTGACAAAGGTATTTTGGCCTAATTTAGGCAGGGGCATCTTTAGGTGAAAGGAACTCAGTGTTGTTTAAAAAGTGAGTCTGGGCCCCTACGGACATGCGGAGCAATGCTGGATGAAGAAAATTTATTCAATTTTCTTAACATTTTATCCTGATTGACTGACTGAAATTTGAAAAATTATTTGTTCTTCTGTTGGAATGAAGTATTTTGAACATATTCCCTCGGTGATTTAATGATCTATTACATTATTCATTTTTCCCTTTTGCTGTAAGATATTAATGTTAATGTTAATTCTGTTTGATACTGTTTTGGCTAGGAAAGGAATTTTGGAGATGCCAAACGGTACAACGACATTATCCGCCATGAGACATTAAGAGTTGCAGTTTGTGATATGTTGGAGGGCAAATGTGTCTGTCCCCAGAGCCTACAGTAAGTTACATTACAATGAAGGGAGGTATATTATATTTGTACTGGTTCTACTTCTATAGTGAGATCTTTCTCAAGCTGACTTTTTAACTGACAAGTATTCCTTTTTGAAACTTGAAACAAACTGCATCACCGCTTGGTGGTAAGCAGTATACCGAAATCAGTTCTAAAACACTTTCACCTGAAGGTCAGAGGTCAAATAAATGCAATACTGTATGTCAGGAATTTCTAACATGTATCTAAATTTTTTTAATTTAGTGATTCTTTCAAAATAAAAAAAAATTAAAATTGCAAACTTTGCATATTTTCTTGTTTTTATTGTAAACACCTGAGCAATACCTCTATAGAGCTGACATACCTACAGGCACCTGAACACTTTTCTAGTTATGAACACTTCTATAAATAAATAATAGTATGTAAATCTCTTAGTATGACTGGTCAGTTAGATTTCCAGGTGATGTTAGAATCTCTTATATCTGTAAGCCATATTCATTCTGAAGAATTCAAAGTTTTCAAAAGAATGCTTTCAAATTTGTGAGATGATGAAATTGCAAAAAGTGAAGAAAGCAAAAATTTGCAAAAGGGTCCTTCTGGTGATTTTCGTAAAAATTTCATAGAGCAAATATATCTCTATATACAGTATTTTCATTACATTGTCTGAGCTATAAGTTTTTAAATGACAAAGATATTATGGTCGAACTTGAAGCCAACAGCATTATTCACAAGCAGTGTGCAGTGCAGGGAAATAAGTCACCTCAACTTCAAAGGTCAAATGAGTAAATATTTTCACTTCATTCTAACTGAAACAAGGTCTCCCTATGTCAGTGCTGGTCAAATGAAATGATGCTGAGGTTGCTTGACTGTTTCAAGGGCTGGACTGCATGTCATTTTATGTGATCTGGTGCATTTTACTTTCATTGTATTTTAATTTTTTGTATTTTTCATTTCATAACTGAAACAAATCTACTGTAATAGAGATACTCAAACACCAACAAAGGTGACTTCATAAAACTAATGTCACCTTAGTCTTGTTGAATGAAGTGTGTTGCACTATTGAAACAAATCTTTTTCATATTTTGCCCTCACATATCCCTGGGTAGAGAATATGAATGATTTTGCCTTTCTTCTCTTACCATGTGTTTTGTTATGACAGAGAGGTGATGGAAACGTCATTTCCAGACTACTTTGAATATTATGAAACCATCTGTAAGAAACACCAGGACATGCAGGGACAGACAATGATGGTTGGTATAGTTTCTGTGCTCCCCCAAAAAATAAAAGTGAGCATATTGTTGCTGCTTTGTCCGTCTGTCCATCCTTTTGTTTCTTGAGGGTAACTTTGCCCACAGTTAAGCAAGGATCATGACACTAGGTGTATACATTGGTCATGCTAAGACAGTGTGGCCCCCAATCCCTGAATTACTGAGTAATAATTTCATGCTCAGAACGTATCTTAACTTGCATTCAAAATTTGATAATGAAACTCGGTGTATACATTATGCATACTAAGAGGATATACAGTGTACCAAAATTAAAACCCCCAAATTTCTTCATTACAGAGATATTGCCCTTTGTTCAAATTTTATGTCCAATAAAGTTGTTGTTTGGGGCTTTCATCAGTTTCACCGATACTCTTGTTATATGATTGGGCTATTCATATTGGTCCCTTGTGCCTTGTTCATGGCAGTCATGGCAGCCATGTAATAAAATGATTGCCCAATCATGATTTCTTTTAACATCACCCATTTTGAACATCTTCTCAAATTCTACATTTTGGATTGAGCTGAAACCTGTCTGAAATGGATGAGATGATACTGAGATGGTCATGACCAAGTGTTATGTTTCGGGTCAGTCTGAAATCTAATAATCGCTGCCATGTTGCCATCTTGAAAAACCCCATTTTAGACATCTTCTCAAGTGCCAAATTGGTAGGAAAGCCAAGAACCTATTTCCCATTACTTCTGTTATATATTGGTCTTCATATTCCAATGACCATTAAGGCTCCTGGGTGTCTTTGTTATTTAAAGCTCATCTATTTCTGAAAAAGGCTGCTTTATTCAGGCATTCAAATTCTTCTGATTTTACTCCAATTTCCACATAAAATGTACCGATGGTATGTATATTTCCAATGTAACAGACTTTACAGTCTATTAATATCAAAGTATTCCATAATTTAATTCCATTCTAGGAAATAGTAAAATTTTGAAAAAATTCTATAAAATATTTTATCGATGGTTACTTAAAAATGGTGATACTGAACTGTTGTTGTATTTAAGGATCCTTTTGGAGAGAAGAGAGGCATATTTGACTACTCAAATATACTAAAAAGACTTGGAGTAATACAAAAGGAGCTTTCAGACAAAATGGACAGTTGCTCTACAGACGAGACTTCAGACATGGAGCAGAGCTGATACTTCATCAGTTACAAGATTTCAGTTACCTATAATAATTTGTTATCTCAATACAAGCTTTTGTTGGACCAGGACCACACAAGGCCACCATAATGATAAACCTGGAGTGGCTAAGTGTACATTCTTACTAAAGATGTATAAAAAATTTGTTGCCATTGGACAGATTTGCTGCTGCTTTGTGATTGGACCAATACATGGCATTCCCTTTCATCTTGTTGTAGTTGGAGACATGATTTTACTACTGTACAACATACTTAATTTCATGCTGATGTTTCTGTGATGGTGAGAATGTTTGTTAAATCATGAGTGTTATTGTAATTGACTAACTCATTTCGTTTAATATTTCTTTTGCATTTGTTAAATATATTTGTAATTAATAACAAATAAATATTGCATACATTTCTACTTGTACAATTTCACTGATGGATCTGCAAATACTAATTGCTAATTGATGGAACTCCACACATTTTTACTTCTACTGCTAATTGATGGAACTCCACATATTTCTACTTCTACTGCTAATTGATGGACCTCCACATATTTCTATTTCTACTGTTAATTGATGGTCCTCCACACATTTTTACTTCTACTGCTAATTGGTGGTCCTCCACACATTTCTACTGCTAATTGATGGTCCTACACACATTTCTACTGCTAATTGATGGACCTCCACACATTTCTACTGCTAATTGATGGTCCTCCACACATTTCTACTTCTACTGCTAATTGATGGACCTCCACACATTTCTACTTCTACTGCTAATTGATGGACCTCCACATATTTCTACTTCTACTGCTAATTGATGGTCCTCCATACATTTCTACTTCTACTGCTAATTGATGGTCCTCCACACATTTCTACTTCTACTGCTAATCGATGGACCTCCACATATTTCTACTTCTACTGCTAATTGATGGACCTCCACATATTTCTACTTCTACCAATTACTGATGGTCCTCCACACATTTCTACTTTAACCATTAATTGACTTTTATTGTGTTGAAGATTATGTCAATATATTATGAGGATGATTGCGTGACATGGGAGTGTGTTATTTGTTTGAGAGAATGAAGTTTGTATTTGAGAGCATTCAGAAAATTAGAGTGAATAAGATCAAGTGGAAGTTATTTCACGACGGTGTAGCTTTAGGGAAGAAGAAGCTGTGACTGTTTTCAGGGAGGAGTTTGATGAAGTGTTGATGAGTGTCTCAACTATTATAAATGTGAGTGTTTGTTGAAGGTTTTTATCACTGTATGCAATTTTATTCATTATGGTAAGATATGTGTCATTGATCTATCAGCGAGACTGTTTTGCATTTAGTAGCAGTTTAGCTAGATTACTAGCAGTCTGAAACTTTATTTTGCATGCACTGCCTACTCCTGTTTGTTTTGTTTAAATGTGATTATTTAGAAATTAATTTTGTGAAACATCTGGCAGTCATAAATTCCATGCTTGAGAACACAACCTTCCTTTTCTATTGTATTATAAGCAGAATTGTAGACATGCTCTATCATTACCATTTAATAAACCAACATCCCTTTTCATTAGTCAAAGAGTTTTTGTTATACATACTGCAGGGTGAATACAGTTGAAATTAGCTGTGTTATGGTGTCAGCCCTGAGATAGAAACAGTCTCAGAAATCTCCACAACTCTGGTTATAAATTATCATATGGCCATTTTGATATCACATCCCGTATCAGCCAGAGGGCCAAAAGGCCACCCCTAGAGACAGGTGTCCTTCCAATTCCAGGGAGCCGAGACCCATAGTATAAAAAAAACCAGAGGCCCATAGGACCTGTATCACTCACCTGGTTTACTTTTGCTAAAAATTGATTGATTTAAACTAAAGTAAAATATTTCCAAACACTTGTATCTATTTCCCCTAAAAGGCCTTGTTCCTCTGCCCTAAGGGAGTTAGATGCATTGTTTATACAAAACTATTTTTCTCTTCATCCAAGGATACTTCAGATCAAATCTGGACAAAATTGAATCATTTCAACTTAAGAAATATTTTAAAGAATGTGCTGTATTTTTAATATTGAGTCCCTCTCCCTTCCTTTCCTGGGTGCTGAAACCCAGACTAAACTGATACAGAACCCACCTACATTGAAAAAAACATTTTTAAGAATTTGCACTATTTGCTCTATCCTAGATTCTAGATTTTGGAAAGATTTTCAAATTTTTTCCTATTTTACCCCTTTTAGGGCCCCTTCACAATAAGGTCCAAATTATACTCATATGGGACAGGACAAGATGGGAGATGACTTGGCCCCTTAGAAGGTCAGACTTCTTCCTTCCATTGCTTAAAGCAAGTAAGGGTTAACCTGCGGTTATTGAAAATGGTTGCTTATTGGCCACTTTGTTTTTCTGACCAGACCCAAAATTAAATGGGCACAACTAGGGACAAAGGGAACCTACATATGAAATCGAAGAAATCGCTATAACAAAATTGCAAAGTCAAAATCCAAGTTTGTGGCCTCTCGGGCACTTGGTTTTTAAGATCAGTCAAAAAATTAGATGGGCACAACTAGAGGCCAAGGGGAACCTACATTGAAAAAATCCAAGAAGGCCACCTGTCAGCCACTTTGTTTTTCAAATCAGTCCCAAAATCAAACAGGCACAACTAGGGACCACAGGGAACCTACATATGAAATTTGAGAAAGATCCATCCATCACTTCTCAAGAAATAGCAATAACAAAAATCGATTGTGGAAAGACGTACAGATGGTGGGCTAAAAATTGAAAATAAAGCCTCCTTTTTCATCTGAACAAAGTGAAGTAACTCTGGTAGAGCAGAATGGATTATAGTTGAGTATCAAAGATGATTGACACTGTGTTACAGTATAAAAATGGTATTTTATTGTCTTGTCATTTCACTACCAATTAATATATCTGGACTGTGATTATACATGCACTAAATCATCAATAATCAAGGGTGTATGAGAAAAAATAATTATTACTTGAACAATCTATCCAGGATGTTGTATAAGATATAATCTTCCTTCACAGATATGTTCAAATACTACACAATAGAAAAATACCCCATAAAACAAATATAGATTATATAATGTAATTTGGCATAACCAAATGCAAACAAAAGAAAGATATGTTTGTTAAATCAATGTTGATTGTTTATGTTTTTCAAATGGACAACCAAATATAACATAATAAAATTGCTCTAGAATGGTGTTCACTGGGTTCCTAAAGTTCTCGGTTCTTCTACATGTGTTCTGGGTGGTTCTTCAGACAATCCATAAACTTGCTCACGTCTAAGTTACCTTTACAGATATTGTGGATGGCTGTGAATAGGGGGAACCTGCAACAAATTCAAAACTGTTACACCTTCTTATTTCAAACAATACATAATTAATATGCAGTTGTCAAAAGCAAAGCCCAAAATACATTAACAAGATGCCCACTGGGTTGAAGTAGGCTCAAGATAAAGATAATGGTCATGTTTCTCTCTCTATCATTTCTTTTTAGAAAACTCCATTTAGAAATGACATAAATTAATTAAAATATTTGATATATTTATCAATTTCACATCATATATTTCCTATAAATATTAGACATGAAGAGTAGGACAGACTTTTAAAAAGACACTAATTTTACCTATTTGGCCCCTCCTCTCAAGCCCTTTGGGGCACAGCCCCATAAATTTCATATATTCAAGACTCCCTTGTCAATTCTTACATCATCATAGTGTTAATATGTTGATGCCTAGCAATGATACATATGGTAAAGGGGCATTTTGAAGATATGACCCAGAATCTAAATCCATAGGGGTCGGGCAAGATTTCAGAGCCAATTCTTACATCCTGATTATGTTTATCTTTTGTTGCCAAGCAATGCCTTAAATGGTTATGGAGTGGGGATCACAATTATCTCTAAGATATAACCCAGAGACTAAGTCCCTTAGGTTGGGGCCAGAACCCAGGTGTGCCATGATCACCTACATTTGTTCCATGTCTTTTGCCTTGAGCATGTAATTGACTTCAAATGCTGTTGGAGGGCCTTGTAGCTTCTGGCCATTCAACATTTCCTGCTCCAATTCTTCTATGCTCTGAAATAGACAAGTCATCAACAGAAGCATCAATGAAACTGATGAATGCTCCCCACAAACAACTTTATAGCACAAAAATTTAACAAAGGGCAGTAATTCTGTAATAAAGAGGTTAGAGACCTGAATTTGGTACACTACAATCCTCTTAGAATGACCTATATGTGCACCAAATTTCATTATCATACTCTTAATGAAAGCAAGTATGACCTGGACATAAGATTTCAAGAAAGGGTAATAAATCATCAAAACTGTCATCCTATGCTTATATAATTCTTACAAAGTTATTTTGATTCTACCATATCTGGGTGTTGAGAAGAAGATTTTTGAAATTCCAGTCAATTTGACCCCACCCTTCAGGCCCCTGTGGGGTGGGGACTGTATACTGCTAATTCACAATTTTAGTTCATCTTTTTGAAAAGATGTTTAAAATGTTAAATTGTTTACGAACACACAACATATGACTCCAGATGAAGTGACTGCATTAGGTCACCATGAGACTTATTTGAACTAAAAATGTAAATGAGTAGTACTTAATAAGATTATAGTGAAAGTAGAGACTGATAAAGTTTTTGAAATGGCAATGTATGTATGTTGATAGAGTTTTGAATGCAGAACTATAATTCGACGTGTACTACAGTAAACTGTAAAATGAAGTTTTACAATCAAATGGTTCAATGCAGGTAATATTTTTTATTTGTTCAACTAGGTGAAACCTACTTTTCCAGTTTTAGCAAAAGCTTCAGCAACTCTTCGGTTCCTGCCACCGTAGCATGTAGTGACAAGGTCAGCCACTCCACAGCTTTCGAGAAATGTTGCTTGTTTGGAGTCTGAAATGAATGTTAAAATGCAGTAATGTATCTGTATGAAGCATTTTGGAGTTTGAAAGCTTATCAACAGCAGGTATAAACAGAAGTAGTAGTATTATATATGCATGGTACTTCAATAACATATATGAACATATCAGTGACTGACATCTTTAATCCCACTACCATGGGATTTATTCAGTCTCAATTCACTCTCTGCACTCTGTTTTAATTTCTATCAATAGAAAACATGTAGATTTCCCTTGGTTGATGTACAGACACATGTGGACTTTTCTGTTAGGTCATGATGATTTTGCTTACTAAGAAACCATTTTAATTTTTCAGTGAGAACCCATTACAATTTTTCTTTTTATTTCTTTTTACATTTTCCTTATTGAGATCTTTATCTTGGTACCTGGATAAAAGATTTCACAGAATTTGACCATCTCCATCAATCCAAGTCTGATGACAGCTGCCTTTGTATTGTCTCCATATCCAAGACCATCAGCAAAACCAGCACCCACTGCAACAATGTTCTACAACACACAAGAACTTAACAATTTTAAGATAAATAGTCCAAGTTCATTATTAGCTACGAAATACAAGTAATGGTATTACCTTCAATATCAGTATATTTTGTTGATGTATTGATGTTGCACAATTTACAGAAGTGGATGTATCACCTTGTGCTACAGGGAATTAAAGAGATACAAATTGTCATATCAGAAATATTCACTTGAAGCTATACTGATTTTCAGATCCAGCTTGAAATAAGACCTCGAAAGATAATTACCTGAAAATCCTTGTAACATTTTATGAATATCACAGCATCCATTTAGGAGTCATAGAAGAGCTGTAAAACTTACAACTCACAACTGAAGTTTTAAGACAATTCATCTTTCGGGAGAAAATGGAAAAAATGTTGGGTGCATGCTAAAACATAGGTTGAATCCGAAAGGTAAAAAGCGCTTACTTTTAAGGCACCACATACTTCTACAGTTGTCTCATCATCGCAGACCACGATTCTGAAGTAGTCTGTCTGGAACATGTCCTTAAGGATGACACCATACTCTTGATGATTGCAACCTTGACCAAAAAAATATTAGACAACTATTTTAGCCCTTAAACAATGTTTTTACAATAATCATGACCTTCTGTATTTAAGAATCAATAGTATTTATACAATAATTATGACCTTCTGTGCTTAAAAAATACCATTTAACAAGAGGCCCATATGGTCTGTATCATTCACTTGGCTTTGTTTGGCTGAAATTGCCTCATCCAAACTAAAGGAAAAGGAATTCAAAATATCCAAGCACATAACACACACTATATCTATTTCCCCATTGGGCCCCCATGCATTTATCCCTCGGGGATCTGCAATCCCTCTCTACTTCAGACCAAATTGGGATAGAATCCTGTCATTCCAAGATGGATTTCAAAGAATTTGCTCTACTTCCTATATAATGGGTTCTGCCCCTCTAATCCCAAGTGGACAAGACTTGTTGTGTATACAAAATTGGTTTCCTTTCACCCCAAGGATGCTTTGCACCAAATTTGGCAATATCCATTCATTCCTACATGAGGAGTAGGATTTCAAAACATTTTCTCTATTTGTTATCATTTTGTTATTGTTATCCTACAATATACTGTAATGTAGAGGGACAGAGAGAAGGATTTGTTATCCTACAATATACTGTACAGTAGAGGGATGGAGAGAAGGATTTGTTATCCTACAATATACTGTACAGTAGAAGGACAGAGAGAAGGATTTGTTATCCTACAATATACTGTACAGTAGAGGGACAGAGAGGATTTGTTATCCTACAATATACTGTACTGTAGAGGGACAGAGAGGATTTGTTATCCTACAATATACTGTACAGTAGAGGGACAGAGAGGATTTGTTATCCTACAATATACTGTACTGTAGAGGGACAGAGAGGATTTGTTATCCTACAATATACTGTACTGTAGAGGGACAGAGAGAAGGATTTGTTATCCTACAATATACTGTACAGTAGAGGGACAGAGAGGATTTGTTATCCTACAATATACTGTACAGTAGAGGAACAGAGAGAAGGATTTGTTATCCTACAATATACTGTACAGTAGATGGACAGAGAGGATTTGTTATCCTACAATATACTGTACTGTAGATACGGAGAGGATTTGTTATCATACAAAATACTGAACTGTAGATGGACAGAGAGGATTTGTTATCAGAGAGAGGGACAGAGAGGATTTGTTATCCTACAATATACTGTACAGTAGAGAGACAGAGAGGATTTGTTATCCTACAATATACTGACAGTAGAGGGACAGAGAGGATTTGTTATCCTACAATATACTGTTCAGAGGGACAGAGAGGATTTGTTATCCTACAATATACTGTACAGTAGAGGGACAGAGAGAAGGATTTGTTATCCTACAATATACTGTACAGTAGATGGACAGAGAGGATTTGTTATCCTACAATATACTGTACAGTAGATGGACAGAGAGGATTTGTTATCCTACAATATACTGTACAGTAGAGGGACAGAGAGAAGGATTTGTTATCCTACAATATACTGTACAGTAGAGGGGCAGAGAGGATTTGTTATCCTACAATATACTGTACAGTAGATGGACAGAGAGGATTTGTTATCCTACAATATACTGTACAGTAGATGGACAGAGAGAAGGATTTGTTATCCTACAATATACTGTACAGTAGATGGACAGAGAGGATTAGATATCAGAGAGAAGGATTTGTTACCCTACAATATACTGTACAGTAGAGGGACAGAGAGGATTTGTTATCCTACAATATACTGCAGAGAGAAGGATTTGTTATCCTACAATATACTGTACAGTAGAGGGACGGAGAGGATTTGTTATCCTACAATATACTGTACTGTAGAGGGACAGAGAGAAGGATTTGTTATCCTACAATATACTGTACAGTAGATGGACAGAGAGGATTTGTTATCCTACAATATACTGTACAGTAGAGGGACAGAGAGAAGGATTTGTTATCCTACAATATACTGTACAGTAGAGGGACAGAGAGAGGATTTGTTATCCTACAATATACTGTACAGTAGAGGGACAGAGAGGATTTGTTATCCTACAATATACTGTACAGTAGAGGGGCAGAGAGAAGGATTTGTTATCCTACAATATACTGTACAGTAGAGAGACAGAGAGGATTTGTTATCCTACAATATACTGTACAGTAGAGGGACAGAGAGGATTTGTTATCCTACAATATACTGTACAGTAGAGGGACAGAGAGAAGGATTTGTTATCCTACAATATACTGTACAGTAGAGGGACAGAGAGGATTTGTTATCCTACAATATACTGTACAGTAGAGGGACAGAGAGAAGGATTTGTTATCCTACAATATACTGTACAGTAGAGGGACAGAGAGGATTTGTTATCCTACAATATACTGTACTGTAGAGGGACAGAGAGGATTTGTTATCCTACAATATACTGTACTGTTTGTTAGTAGGAGGGACAGAGAGAAGGATTTGTTATCCTACAATATACTGTACAGTAGAGGGACAGAGAGGATTTGTTATCCTACAATATACTGTACAGTAGAGGGATGGAGAGAAGGATTTGTTATCCTACAATATACTGTACAGAGGAGGGTCGGAGAGAAGGATTTGTTATCCTACAATATACTGTACAGTAGAGGGACAGAGAGAAGGATTTGTTATCCTACAATATACTGTACAGTAGAGGGACAGAGAGGATTTGTTATCCTACAATATACTGTACAGTAGAGGGACAGAGAGAAGGATTTGTTATCCTACAATATACTGTACAGTAGAGGGACAGAGAGAAGGATTTGTTATCCTACAATATACTGTACAGTAGAGGGACAGAGAGAAGGATTTGTTATCCTACAATATACTGTACAGTAGAGGGACAGAGAGGATTTGTTATCCTACAATATACTGTACAGTAGAGGGACAGAGAGAAGGATTTGTTATCCTACAATATACTGTACAGTAGAGGGAGAGAAGGATTTGTTATCCTAGAGAGACTGTTATCCTACAATATACTGTACAGTAGAGGGACAGAGAGGATTTGTTATCCTACAATATACTGTACAGTAGAGGGACAGAGAGGATTTGTTATCCTACAATATACTGTACAGTAGAGAGGACAGAGAGAAGAGAGATTTGTTATCCTACAATATACTGTACAGTAGAGGGACAGAGAGAAGGATTTGTTATCCTACAATATACTGTACAGTAGATGGACAGAGAGGATTTGTTATCCTACAATATACTGTACTGTACAGTAGAGGGACAGAGAGAAGGATTTGTTATCCTACAATATACTGTACAGTAGAGGGACAGAGAGAAGGATTTGTTATCCTACAATATACTGTACAGTAGAGGGGCAGAGAGGATTTGTTATCCTACAATATACTGTACAGTAGATGGACAGAGAGGATTTGTTATCCTACAATATACTGTACAGTAGATGGACAGAGAGGATTTGTTATCCTACAATATACTGTACAGTAGAGGGACAGAGAGGATTTGTTATCCTACAATATACTGTACAGTAGAGGGACAGAGAGGATTTGTTATCCTACAATATACTGTACTGTACAGTAGAGGGACAGAGAGAAGGATTTGTTATCCTACAATATACTGTACAGTAGAGGGACAGAGAGGATTTGTTATCCTACAATATACTGTACAGTAGAGGGACAGAGAGGATTTGTTATCCTACAATATACTGTACAGTAGATGGACAGAGAGGATTTGTTATCCTACAATATACTGTACTGTAGAGGGACAGAGAGGATTTGTTATCCTACAATATACTGTACAGTAGATGGACAGAGAGAAGGATTTGTTATCCTACAATATACTGTACAGTAGATGGACAGAGAGGATTTGTTATCCTACAATATACTGTACAGTAGATGGACAGAGAGGATTTGTTATCCTACAATATACTGTACAGTAGAGGGACAGAGAGAAGGATTTGTTATCCTACAATATACTGTACAGTAGAGGGACAGAGAGGATTTGTTATCCTACAATATACTGTACAGTAGAGGGACAGAGAGAAGGATTTGTTATCCTACAATATACTGTACAGTAGAGAGACAGAGAGAAGGATTTGTTATCCTACAATATACTGTACAGTAGAGGGACAGAGAGAAGGATTTGTTATCCTACAATATACTGTACAGTAGAGGAACAGAGAGAAGGATTTGTTATGTATTTGATGGGATATATTTAATTTGTCATGTCAATGAATTACAATTTCATGTTCCCTTAGACCTTAAACTCAATTCCATTTTCCTCATAGGCTAACATTGTAAAAAGTACCAACCAAATCCATCAATCCTCTCTTTTAAGTTATCATCTGGAAACACAAATTTGACAAAAAAGATCTCTTTTTAGCAACAGTGACCTTTGTAGTTGACCTTTCGACCCCAAACTTAACCCCACCTCATAACAGGCATAAATGCTATTACAGTCCCCTCCGGTTTCACCGACAGGGGACTAGTAAAGAATAGTCATTTGCTGTTTAATATCCATCATACCTATTGTGGCTTCACAGTAGTTTTCCTTAGCAACTTCATTTGCAATATTAGCACCCATCAAAGCAGCACAAGGGATATTCAGCAGTTCCCTAATGACAGAGGAAATCAAAAGGATTCCACCTCCATCCTTCACATCAAAACCCTGCAAAATATACAGACAGTAAGTAGACTCATACATACCATCTGTGTTCATAGTATACATTGTTTTACTCTTTTAGATAGTATAAGGACAAGTCTGACAACCTAGGCTGGACAAAACCATATTTTCTTTAAGAATCCAATACATGTACATTTATCATCATTCCAGTACAATGTAAAAATAAGTATACAAGGCCTATAGAAATGAAAGTTTCTATCAAAGTGAAGTTTATATCAATAAAAACAACTGTCAAGGTAGAAAATTACCAGGCCCAATCAGTACAACACTCAAAACCAAATCAAGTCAAATTTTATAACTGGTGATACCTCCGAGCATGAGAGGCTGGCCTATAGGCCCAGGCAAGATAATAACCTTGATAAGCGAGACTGCAATGGCATCCTTTTTGACATTTCCTTTCAATTTGTCACACACACCCCTCACAAACTGATGTGGCAGGACAAAAATGAAGATATCAGCTCCATCTCCAGATTCTTTGACATCTGGTACAGCAACCTGGAGGTGAAATTTAAGATTGTTGCAAAATGTATGAAAAGAGTCAGACTGTATATTGTTGCATTCATACCATCAGGATGCAACCATATAAACATATATATACAGTCAAACCTCGTTAAAAATTTGAGATCACTGAATATTTAATTCAAGTGAGTTCAAATGTTTTGTGTAAAGTTAGGCTGGCACCACCATAACGCTTTGAACTAAACAGGGTCTTCAAGTTATACGAGATTGAGATAACAAGGTTCGATTGTCTATATATTACAGACAGTGTTCTTCACCAGATTGTTGGTTGACTTAGGATAGTCACATAAAACCAGCTAGGGTCTAAAATTCCTACTGCAAACCAACTTTCTTTGGTGTGCAATTTACTTTCAAGAATTTCACGAGAGGCAAAATTGTGAAAATGAATCACGGCAAATTATAACATTGATAATAAACATAAATCTTTATTTTTCATATTTTTTGTTCATTCAAACTTCATAAATCTTTACCTTACGAACTGTACTTTATCCTAAATCTACATTACATACAGCTAAAGCTTGTTTCATACATCAGTGTTGTGGACAAATTATTCTCTTCAATGTTTAGCTCTGAGAAATCCATGTTTGGTAACTCTCGAATAAATATCACTAATAATTTTTGATTAAATGACTGATTAACCTGTAAACGAAGTCCTATAGGCTTCCTTCACACTCCTTTCTTAATATAAGCATGAGATACTCAATTGATTTGGAAGTTAATCACATAGGTTTGTTCATGTTCATGCGCTAGTAAATTTTTTAGTAATTACAATGAAAATTTGTTCAAAATTGTTTCATAAGATGCTTGTAGACTAGCACCAGAAAATTTAATATGACTTTGTCTAACCCTAAGAAAGACTGCAAGAAAATTTGACAGCATTTTTAATTTTTCAAATGAGACATTTTAAAACAATGGAAACAACACTTTCATCACATTTCTAACTGTCAAATCTTCTTAATTGATCTGAATTTCAAACATAAATCTGTCAACTCACCACATTGGTGGGTAGCGGATGTCCAGGAAGATACTTGACATTTTCATGGTCCTGGTTGATGATTTCAGTGAGTTTCCTACCCTGAACCATCTCCTCAAATACCCACATACGAACTTCAGAGTCAAATTTGTCTGGCATTGCTAACACATTGTTACCAACTATCTTGGCTATGGCTGAACCCCTAGAAATATATATATACATTGACACATAAACAAAAAAAGGTACTAGCTATTCAACTTAAGAATAAGACAATAACACATGTAGATGCTCATCAAAGGTGATTTTATTTTCCAAGCATCTGAAAGGCTTTCCTATCATTTCACAACCATTCTTTTCACAGTAGATCTGGTAAAATGTTACTACTGAAAGATAGACGACTATTTATAGATAGCTAATGACCGACGGACGGACAACCTGATTCCAGTATACCACAATTTCCTTGTCAATGATTCAAGGGTTAATATAACATCCTGAAAATGAAGTGAAATGCATTTGAGTTGATTATTACTCTGGGCTTCAGAATCCTTGAGGTTTCAATCCTTACAAAAATAAATTAAAACTTAAACAAGATAATGCAAAGCCTGACATTATCCCCTGTGCCACGATATCTAATAGAAAGACACACAATCGTATATATATGTAAATATTATAATAACAAGTATCACCTCCATTCTACTGGTTTTACTCATATTTTCATGAAGATCATCTTTTACTGTGGATGTTTTTAGTATGGTTTGGCATCATTTACAAATACAATGGTTACATAATCAACACGTTCAATTTCTATTGATTATTTTTAACATTTCTTAAAGGCTGTGCAAAATTTCAAGAAATCATCTTGAACAGTTTCAGAGCACTGGTTGGGAAAAACTGAAATTTGTGATTTACCCTATCTGTTTCCATGTTAACAGAAAATAGTATTAACACGGAGAACTAAATCCCCCCACAGTTTAAACTTGAGTCATGCACATTAAATTAGATGGAAATGTTTTATCAAAATCCCTGAAATGAATAAAGCAACTAGACTGCTGACAAGGATTTTCTTAAGATAGTCATAGTGACCTTGATCCTACAAACATGTAATTGAAACTCATATAATATTATGACCCTTTTATTTGGATGTAAAGTTTGATAAGAATACATCCAGGAATAAAGTCACGAGTGCTGACAAAGACATTCAAAAAAGAATACTTTGGGGTGGAATAACATACACCCATCTCATGCCGAAGAAATATTCAGGATTTACTGTATTGAAAACAATACAAGACTGGAAACAGAAATGGTAATAATGAGTCCTATATGTTTCAATGGAAAATGAAGCATACTAATTCTTAGAGAAATAGGTGGAAATCTCAAAGTAATCTCTTCACAAGATAAAAAATGTTTTAAAAAAAGGGACAGCAATAACTCTTCCCAAAATAGTAAAATGACAATGCCATAAAGGTGGACACAATTTTATGTAATGGTTATAAAGCATACCAATTAAATTTCAGAGAAATTGGTTAAAAGCTGAGGAAGAGGTAGATCTCTTTATAAAATTATAAAAAATAAAAGCTTTTAGGCAACAAATCCTTCAACAATTGTTGAAACAAACTGATGTGAATGAAAACACAATAAATTGGTTGAAAAAGGAGAGAGATGATCTTCTAACAAGATTAATAATGTGAAAACAGCAAGATGCACTAACTCTTCCAAATGCAGTTGAATCAAATTGCCGTTTGAAAAACATTGGTTGAAAACTGTTGGAGAAGGGCACATAAAAAAAAAATACATACATAACATAAAACCAGAAACAAGAATCCACCACTATTTATTTATGTTTCTTCACAATTCCACAAAATTTCAGTTAAATGGCACCAAAGGCAATGGAGAAGAAGTTTAAAATGTGGTTGCCATGGCTGACATATTGGATTTCAGACCAACCCAAATAATAATTTACATAGTCAGGATCATTTCAAGCTAGTTTTGAATGAAAGCTAAAGAAATAAATAAAGAAAGAAATAATGAATGAATTTTTCTTGAACCGGTTTAGTATTAAATTTCCTTGGGAAAAATTTTTTTATATATTTTTTTACAGATAGTATAGAAATGAAATATGTTAATTTTGGTTAAAGAAGTGATTAACATATTTGAATTCTCCCAATCACAGTAAATTTCTTTTTTTCCCCCTTCTTTTACAACATTCTGCATTTTTCCTAACTTATTTTCCCAGTTTAATTGTTCTTCTTTCTTACAGTCTAAACCAAAATGGATTCCTAATGCTTTAATACTTTCATTTGCCCTGTCTATGCTTTCATGATTATCATCTATCAACATTTTATCATTTCCTAATTCTATTCCTAGTGACTTGGTTCTATTTAAAATTAAACATGATAAACTACCAAAAATTTCAATCATGTTAAGAGCTTTGGTTACATCTGATTTAGTTTTCAAAAGTCATGTGGTATCCCTTGGTATGCCTTGTATATTTTCATCTTGCCTAATTTTGGTGGCCATTATTTCTACCGTTATAACAAAGAGAACTGCTGATATCAGACATCCCTGCCTAATTCCACGTGTGATGTTAACATGTTCAGATAACCATCCATTATTTGAGACTAAGCAGTTTGAGTGTATAAAGTTAACATCCAGTTCATAAAATTTTCTTTAAAGCCAAAGTGTTTTAGTGTAGATAATGTAAAAGCCCATTCTATGGAATCAAATGCTTTGGCAAAGTCAAGAAATAATATGCTTCCACCAAGTTTATTTTTTTCCGAATATCCAATAATGTCATCAATCAGGCGAATGTTATATCTGATATTTCTACCCATCACAAAGTCATTTTGATCTGTATTAATAATTTTTGGTAAAATCGGCTGAATTCTTTCAGCCAGATAATGAGCTAATATCTTGCATTCCACATTTAAATAATAATATAATATAAACTTTATTCATTTTACAACAATTGCGAAACAAGTTATGTCAACTTATACTAGTCACTCTTGTTGGCCTGGATGTAAGCACACGAGGGGTCTTATTGTGGGAGGAAACCGGAGTACTCGGGAAAACCCATGTGGTCGGGCAGGTGACCCCATACCTTTTCACGTCCGTTCCGGGAATCAATAATTTTTTGTACGAGTGAAAGAATTCCAGTTCTTTGTGATTCTGATAGTTTTCTATTTTCATAAACATTATTTAGACAGTTTACTAATAATTCTTTAAGATGTGGCCAGAATTTTCTATAAAATTCAACAGTCAACCGGTCAGATCCTGGAGATTTATTTAATTTTTGTCTACTGATTTTTTCATTTGTCTGCTTTTTCTAAACCCAAGAAATATTTCTTGTTTCACCTTTCTCAACCCATTCTGATCTAGATCTTATTTGATTTCCTGTTGCTTGATATGTATACATTGCTTCTATCTCTTCTTCAATTAGATTTATTTCCTCTGTGTTTGCATTTTCATTTTGTTTTTCTTTCAATTTTTCTTCACGAACTTTTAACTGATTTTCTCTCACTTTTTCTTTTTTTTTTGCTTCTCAAAGTATATTGATTTCTCCCTAATTTTTATTTTGCATAAATCCCATATAATTTGAGCTGCTATTTGATCATTACTTTTCATTTGTTTATATTTATTTAGAGTTTCAATTATTACTTTCTGATATTCTAGATCATTCAGTAAACACTTATTTATTTTCCAGTATCCAGGGCCTCTTGTTACAAGTTTTATGTCAAGTATAAGAGAAACATCTTGGTGGTCTGTGTATTTTATAAGAACTGGTCAAATATCAGATTTAATGACTTTATGCATAATTTCTTCTTGTATCAAAAAGTAATCTATACTACTTGCTTCTGTGTTAGAATTTATTCCTTTTCCAGGTAAATTGTTTTTTATGGAGATTTCTAAGTTTCCATGGATCTGTTTATTTGAACTCTTTTATTAATGTGTTTTGGCTATTCACTGGTTTCCTTGGTACTATTTTAGATAATCTATCATCTACTTGCTGAATTTCATTCCCATCACCTCCTGTAAAAATGAATCCTAAGCTATGGTTTGAAATATATGTTTTCACTTGTTTATAAAATGTGTTTCTACATTTCTTGTCATTAGGTGCATATATATTTACAATAGTATATATCGTAAAAGCTGTTGATTATTTTAAAGACATTAATCATGTCTCCTCTTAACCTACATTTCCTGTCATTAGGTGCATATATATTTACAATAGTACATATGTTGTCATTTATTTTAGTATTAACAAGTAAGTCCTCCCACTCCATCCATGTGTATATCTATTATTTCTGGATTTATCTTTTTACTTATAAATATATTTACTCTTCTACTCTGTGTTGTGCCAAAACCATTCATTACCACCCTTTGCCACTCTGATTTTATGTAAGGTACCATTGTTTCTTTAAAATGTGTTTCCTGTGCTAGGATAATATTGCCTTTTTGTTGCTTAATCCAAGCATAAAATCTATCTCTCTTTTGTTTTTCCTCCTAAACCTTGGGTGTTTATTGTAAGAATATGTAATTTACAGGTCATAACTATATTAGTTATATTAGTTATAATTTACTTAATATAAGTAAATTATAAGCAGTATCATATTGGATTTAAAAACAAAATTTACAATAGGATATTTTATGGACATAGGCATTAAATTGCCTCTATATCCATATCATTACTGGTTTACAGTATAAAATACATAGTATATTAGGTTATACCTCGGGTGACTGATTTATAACTGGCGAAGTAATTAAATTTTATCTCCCGATTTTTCCAACAATTATCTAAATTAATTTCAAACTCCACTACTGTTTTGGATTTAATAACTGACTCAGGCGGGTCAATACAAATATCGACGATTCTAAATGTAAAGGAGTATTTTTGGACATCCGTCTTGCAACGTTGCCTTTTTAACTTTTTTTGAATTGCCTCTTGTTCTGGCGGAGGTATCAATTTGAAGTAATCCCTCTGTAATTTCTTCATCGTAGAAGCTGTTGATTATTTTAAAGACAGTAATCATGTTTCCTCTTAACCTTCGATAAATTAACATTGGCAGCTCTAGTTTTTTAAGTCTGACACAATGTGGTAAATCCTTTAGGCTTGGGCCCAGTTTAGTGGCTCGCCTCTGGACCCTTTCGGTTGATTTGATATCTTTCATTTTGTACGGACTCCACACACTTGAAGCATATTCTAAATGTGGGCGGACTAATGCTTTGAATAGTTGTTTGAAAGTAATTTCATCGATGTAGAATAAAAGATCTTCTTATAAGACCCATTATGCTATTTGCCTTATTAACAATTTGCTGGACATGGAATGAAAATATTAGGTTCTTGTCAATATTAATGCCAATATCTTTTTCTGTTGTTTTTTTCAGTAGAATTGGATTGCTTTCTCCTGACATATAGTAATGTCTGGTTTGTTTGGCTTTGATGGGTAAAACCTTACATTTATAGGGGTGGAATTTTTAAGAGCAAAGTAGTGGACCATATTTCAAGTTTATTGAGATCATTTTGAACTACTTCTCTATCATCATCATTTTAAATCTGTCTGGAAATTTTCGTATCGTCTGCAAAAAGCAGTGCTTTAGAAATAGTTTGTTCCGGAAGGACATTTATGTATATTACAAATGATACTGGCCCAAGGACACTTGTTACAATATGATTCACTTATTCTATAGTTATGTAGTATTAATACACAGTATACATTTTTATTGTATTTGTGCCTATTGGTGCATTTTAACCTATGATGCATGCCAATGATATTGCTATATGTATTCAAATGGTCATTGTAATAAATAATATTACTACTAAATACATACAAATATACATAGTAGACAATATTTCTACTACTTAAATAGATTATACTATATACATGTAAATAGACTTTATATATATATCACATATACACTTTCATTGTATTATATTGTTTATGTCAAAGTACTGAAAGTACCCTTGTTAATTGATAAATTTATGATATAACAAGTGTAAATACCTACTACCCTTTAGTATAGATAATCTTTATAGAACATATATATTTTTATAAGATTGTATGTCATTTTATGTATGTTTACACATGTACTGTGTACATGTATATTTTTATTTACACAATGATTATACACACCACATTGTAACAATGATATATATTGCACATCTCAATACATATTTTTTGGTACCTTATTCACATACATGTATATTTTCCAGACTCATACTGTATTGTTTAGTATACATATATTTTTCATCCAAATTATGTAGATTGTATACTACATTGTTTATATTTTTAATTACATATTGTATATCGGAAAACATAAATTGTACATACATAAGTGGTTAACAATGTTTATACAAAAAACATTTCTGCTTTTACAGTGTACATGCATTTATGTTGAATAAAATTGAGTGAATATGAAAAGAAAACCTAGGTTTTTTTTTTCAAAGTTAGCATGATAGTTTTGATAATGAGGCAGTTCATTTTATAAAAGAAACTATATAATGGTGAGCAAAAATTACAGCAACAGTAGTGACAGTCAGTAAAATCACATTTTTCTGCACTGTATTTTGTTATGGGTGTGGCAAATGTCATTTGATTTGATTCAGAACTACAAAATAAGTGACATAAATCACCAACCAATTCAGCGGGAAGCAATTTTTGTTTACTGGCAATGGTATTGTGTGTGCATGCATTATCATATATGATGCAAATATTTACATATCCAGACTGTTATCAACAGATTAGGATTTCCTTTTTATAATCATAAATCAACCTCTTAATGTGCATTTTTCTGCTAAAATAAACTTTCATTGTTCATGAGGTGATACCCTTGATATACATGTATATATGCAGTAATAAGAAAATCAGTAACAAAAAATTGTTTAACCAACTGCTCCATCATATTCTTTCAGACATGATATAAGGAAGTGTATATCTGTAGGAGAGGGCTAAATTCTAACCCCTTCCCCAATCCATAGGACCAAATAGATCAAAATTTAAAATCAACTTCTGAAAAGGGCCAAAGGTCATCTTGTGTCATCAGTATTCAGGGATGTGGGACTAATGAATGACCCTGATACATTTTCAAGACAAAAGGGTCAAGTATATTACAATCTTCAAACAAATTCCTCTCAATAACCAATAGAACGAGGGCCCAGATATGAGGCTAATGTGATGCTGGAATGAAGGTCCAACAAGCTTTTTTTAAATGCATTACCTTTAAAAATAACCTATGCAACTAAGTATTTAAGCTGCAGGAATGGATAAAAATCTAGGCTCATTGGATCTCATGTTTGTGCTGTACTCAATGCCTGAGTTGAAATGTCATGTGAATGATGTGGAAAAAAAATTTCACACACATGACCTTGATATGCTACCTTCACCCTTGTTTTAACAGGTCACATCTCACAGCCAGATTTTTCCACTATGAGAGTTTGGTAAAAAGACTGTGAAGTCATTTGTCTTGTTGTATGTGTGAATTGGGTATGTTTTAATATTTTTCTTTCTTTTGGTGAAGAAATTTTGGCCCTCCAATTCTAGTATGGACTGATGAATAAAACTTTTGAATAATAGCTGCCTATCTCAGACACTGGACTCTTTTTTGCAATATATGATCCAGTAATTTGTGTGTTTCTACTGTCTACTGTCGGAGCAAAAATTGGCATAGTCTAACTAGGCCTCGAACCTTGGACACTTCAAACTCTTTAAGAACATTTCATCATTCGCGCTACCGAGTCACCAACATTCGACCCAGTCCAGCTCCCCTTTATTCCTATTTCCTTAGCCTTCACTCCCAAAGACACAAATATTTACAACAAAGGATTGAACATCATCTTGTCAAGCATTTATCTACTTGAAGCATGGGTTGTTTACAAGCAGCAAATGTAAAAGGTGCTAAAAAATGTGCAGTCAGACCAGGGTTTGAACTTGGGATCCTTTGAACTCTAGTCAGATACTCCACTAAATGAGCTACCTGCAGGTCACCAATAATAGATCTGGTCCAGTTCTGCTACACTACAAAAGGGTTACCAAAGCCAAACCTGATGACCCCTATAATAGGTTAGTGATATTCCTGATGACAGAATATTCATATGTATTCTTTAATGTTTGACAGCACAAATGACCGTGGCTATTGTATTGACAGTTGATATAAAGTAGATGCTTTAATTTCATATTTGAACTTGGAAATCCACTTAAGTAATGATCCTTCATATTATAACAGAGACAATGTGTAGATAACAGTAGATAGAATACGAAATGACAAGTTAAGGCTCATTAAACTTTGTGTAGCCCGAAGCTATGCCGTTGTGTCCTAGTTGCTACATATCCCGTACATTAGTGCTATACAGTGTACTATGTTGCAATATGTAACGTTTACTCAGACAATTTGACAGGCCCCGTACGTGTCGCAGACAACACATATAATATCTGATAAAAAAAACGGCCGACCAGTGGCCTTTCACGTTATTCTGTAGATATAGGCCGGTATATACACGTTACAGTAAGATACACCTTAACCGAAGTTAACTATTGTAAAGACTAAAGAACTACAGTCGAAACATAACGACGAAGTCACACCACTCATTTACTGTTACATCATATTGTATGCAATAAAGTATACTATACCAATTTCCCGATCCAATAATACATATCTTCTTTTTAGTTGATGTCATCGTTCCTTTACTGCAGACTTTGCGTTTCAATTAGTTTCGTCTGCCTCAAGTTTCACCGGTTACAAGCAATCGATGTAAGCGACAATTTGATTGGCTGTTTGAAAAAAAACTATAAAAATAAGCAGAGTTGGTAAAAATATCCGGATAATTATTTGTTAAGCAAAATATTTTATTGTCAATTCTAAATGAATGGCATTAATTGATTGATTTCTCACTTTTTTCTATCATTTCACTTCTCAATCTCCAAATTTCTATCATATGAAGATACAGATAAATATATATTAACCCAAAATGGAATCGGCAACACAAATAGTCTACAATGTAAAATTTCAATATGATGATATTCACAATAAGGAACACTTTCTAGATTAGGATATGGACATCGTAACATTAATTTCACAAGTTTTAAATAGTTCGTTTTCATTTCTATCAGCAGGGGCGTCCCTGTTATCAGGAACATATAATACATGTACTTCCCTGTATCTCTAATACAGGAAAGCACGGACTTATATACAAGTCCGTGAGGAAAGTAATGGTTCGAAATGAAGAATCAGAATTATCTTCGCCTATACATATAGATAGATACTATTTTAACCATGAAATACTTCCTAGTCTCAACGTAGAAAAAATGGACAAGTTCGTTATCGTAAGTGACCTATGTGACCTCTGCAAATCTCGACTGTGTACACGGATGCGTCCTTTTCACTCAAAGTCGATGAAAACATTCTGTAGGCCTGAATCACCACAATGGCCATTAAACTATGAAAAGGGCATATCTATTAAATATCCGTCGTGGTAGGGAGTCAGTCCCGTCCCTCGTTTGCCAAAGAAACACAAATCACCCGGCACCAAAACAATTCATAATAAAGAATATTTATTCATTAGCCAGCTGTTTCCAAATTATGTTTTAATTCACTACAAAGATTCATTTGTAAAAAAATATATGAAGCTTTGATACTTCTATGATTTGTTTAGTCAAGGAGATACGGAATTTACCTAATGAGATTGTTAAAGTTTTACTTGAATAATAAACAATGAATTTTACACACAATTAAAACAACGAGGCTCACCATTATACAAGATATATGAACAGACTCGCCTATATTTCCCTATTCTTGTCTCCAAAAACTACTGCCCTTACTTTGTCAGAATTAAGGGTCTAGCGATAAGCTTGACAGCCAATGGGGCCGAGAATTATGTTTCCCCGTCCAGGTTTTTATCGAAATGTTGCATGTTATATACGTCCTGTTTTATCTAGTAAAAATATAGATATTCAGAGATCGACATATACATACATATAGACAGATATACAGAGATACACAGAGATGTGCGTACATAAAAAGATATACAGAGATACATATACCTAGGTACATAAACAAATATACAGAGATAGATACTCAGAGATAGATATATATAGAGATAGATATACATATAGACATACACAAATATACAGAGGCATATCCAGAAATACAGAGATGGATATATCCAAATATAGATACACAGAGATATATAGATAGTAAATGTATCGCCTGAAGATGGCCGTTAGGCCTGAAAACATTAGCGGAATACATTTGTCGTGTTGATTTGATTTTTTCAACTATATATATATATAGACATAAAGAATTATATGGAGATAGATGTAAAAATAAATTAACAAAATTAGATTATTGGTTGTTCAATTTGTTGCAATCGATTTTATTTAAATCCTATCATATCAATATCCAGATAACTGAAATATGAATGTGAATTATAGTTTAAAAGATGACGGAGTAAGCATTTTATTCGGCTGTCATAGATTTTAGACTTTTTTATATCCTTGTATTGATTCTGCACTAGATATTCTCGTAGTGTAGTTTTTTGACAAAATAATCGATACCAGCTGTCTGTAAGGTAAAACTTTTCCATTCCTGGGCATTGTAACACCCGTTTACTTGAATCACTTTGTCTATGTTAACCTATATTTCTGAGAGGTGGATCCTTGAGGAGGGTAGTTATCAAACAGATTTTACATTTATATTTTATTCTGACACTTGTGTTTAAATTTACAATATAACAACTTTTGGCACTACTTTGGTTCTGGGCATGGCATGACGAGGTTTTTCGTTGGCCAGTCAGATGCCGATGGCATTTCTCATTGCATGGATCCAAACTTTAGCTAGTAGTTTATAAGAACAATCCGTTTCCTCGAAATAACGGCAATATGAAAGGTGATCTTACTACCATGATGATTCCGTTTTCTTCAAAACATATTCCATATTTAAGACAAATTTTGAACAAGAAAAAATACGGCATGTATAAAGTTATTATTATCATTTATTATCCAAATCAAAATGGTTGAAATACGAATCAAAACCGGCCTGCCCAGTACCGAGATATTGACGTGTAAAGTGTACATACTACTTATCAACCTAATGGCATTCTAATCTGCCAGAGTTACTGCCCTTTGTTTCACTCTGTCGGTTAGTAGATAAGCTTGACAGGAGGTAGGGGCCGATAATGGCGTAAGGGTGACTCGCTCTGAATGAGACCCTATCGGCTGTAACTCACAAGTTCAATGATAACATTATGTAGACGGTAAACATCCATAAGAACTATGCTAGAAGTTTCAGACAGTGTACAATTTAAACATATTTTTGTCTACGTTAGAACTAGGGATGATTCACAAGGTATTACAACTCCGTTAAGCATTCTCCCAATATACTTTTACCTATGGAAAACAAAATAACTACTAAGGAAAATGCATATATCTACAACAATTGTTACTATTAAAATCAAAATTTGTTACTAGACTTAAATGAAGAACTGCACTTGTGTAACGGAATGGTCATAACAAAGCCGATGGGTTCCTTGTTTCACTTTTACTAAAAGAGAGACATTAATACGTATCGTACATTAATGTTACACACGAGAGCGCATATGACATCACTTAATTTTGAGCTACGTACCTGATTTAGTCAAGGAGTTGACCACAAAAGAAGGTGGAAATGCCAGACATATACAGAGACAGTCTTACAGACACAGAAATTCAACCGTTCACTCGGAGAGATAGAGTTCAAATGTACGTACTAAAGACAATAAAAGAAATCCACAGGTCAGAAACCTTCAACCTATCTAACAACTTCGTCAAAGTCCGTCACGTTTCACATGTCCAGTTCGTAGCAAACCAAGAAACGTACTCACGCTATACCTGGTATATGTACCAGCATACATTGACGGGCAAATCGTAACGCGAGTTTTATGGATACTATACAAGTAATTATAACACAATCAATTCAGCATGTTGTACTAAACGATAAATTAATATATTTTATATCCAACAAAATTAGAAAATTAGTATAATTACTTAATAATTTTGAACTTGTTACACACTCCCCTGGTTTGGAAAAGACCTCGTCTTTTAACAAATATATTGACTATTAAATGACAATAAGCAGAAAACACATTTAAATAATTTAAAAAAACGAAATAAAACAGCACAGACGCATGTCACTTTTCCACAGACGATCTTCAAAATGGCTTTCGATGTTCGATCCGGGCTTAGTGTCCCACAATACACAAGGTAATCCGCTCTTGTGATCCAATCTGCAGAGATTCCTGGGCACACATGACTCATGACGTACTCTCCAGAACGTTGCCATAAAGGAGGTTGCCTTCCTCTCATCGATCTCCTTGTAGTAGGCGAAGGAGGCTGTGGTTCCTCTACAACGTCATTCATCCGGACTGTAACACTCCCAGTCTCGTGACTTCCTGAGACTTGGTCGTCATCTGGCGGTGTCACATCCTCTACGGCAGGCCGTGTAGGATCTCCTCTACTATCACGAACCTGGGTACCCTCCTTGGGGATTGCCGAGTCCTCATCATCCAAATCTGATAGAGGGTCTCTTCTTGCGTCATCCTGACGAGTGATGAGTCGACATCTTTATCGGAGTCGCTCTCCGTGTCCCTCCAACTCCTCCTTTAGCTTGTTCCGTGCTCGGTTCCTAACTGTAGGCGCTGGCCTCTCATCAGGATTCTTTTCTTCACCAAGAAGAAAATCGATAGGTAAAAGAAGGTTCCGATGCAAGTCCTCTTCTTGCCGTCACCACTAATTCGGCTGACGGACAATAACATAATTGATTGAAGAGAAGAGACGTACTTGGAAAAAGTAGGATGTTTTTCTCCGAGATCCAATCCAAATGCCAGATCGATTGGTAACCTAGGATGCCTTCCAAACATTAAGAAGAAAGGTGAATATCCTGTACTTTCATGCCGTATGCTGTTATTGGGATGGACAAGCGAACCGACGTGTCTCTTCCAATCTGCCTTATCCTTTGGATCCAAAGTCCCCTACATCCCAAGCAACGTCAGATCAAACCGTTCGCAGCTTCCATTGTCCATGGGGTGGTACGCGAAGTCCTACGCTTCTTAATGTTGGCAATATCACAGAGTTGATGAATCAAATTTCCAGTAAAATTGGCACCCTAGTCGGAATGTATTCGTGTGGGCATTACATAATGCACAACAAAGTTGTGGAAGAAGGCTTCGTCTGTAGTTCTGGCAGTCTGGTTCTTGGTGGAAATGCCATGCGTGTACTTGGTGAAATTGTCCGTGACGACAAGTATGTGTTGAAATCCTCCATTAATTACTCCAAAGTAAGGAAATCCATACACCCTAGCTCCAGTGACTGTCGTCTGAATGTTCACTAATGGTACTTTCTGGGCAACGGCCTTCCTGGTAATCCACGTCTACACCTCCTGACCCATCTCTCCATTTGAGGGTGTGTATCTCAGGTGTTGATTTGAGAGTGTGTATTGAGGTGTCCATTTGGGGGTGTGTATCTGAGGTGTCCACTTTAGAATATGTATCCGAGGTGTCCACTGAGAGTGTTTATCTTTGGTGTCCATTTGAGAGTGTGTATCTAAGCTGTTGATTTTACAGTGTGTATCCGAGATGTCCCTTTGAGAGTGTGTATCTGAAGTGTCCATTTTAGAATATGTATTCAAGGTGTCCACTGAGAGTGTTTATCTTTGGTGTCCATTTGAGAGCGTGTACCTAAGCTGTTGATTTTACG